ACATATATATATGGGTAAATATAATATTTACGCGACTGTGTATTGCCAAAGATAGACAATATTCGTAAATATAGCGAGAAAATAGCAGAAACGGTACATTTTCCACAATTTCTTCGTAGAAATTAATTGCACAATAATTAAAGCTGCGTAATAACTTTTTACTTTCGTCCGGTATTACAATTAGCCCCGATTCTATTTATATAGAAGCGACATATGTATTGGAAAATATATGTATATACATTGGTGTGCTAATAGATTTTCGGTCTCGAACAAAACCGCAATGGAGAGCGCGAGGGCCCGATCGAGAGAACAAGCGAAGAGTATCAATGCCACTTTGATTGAGGCGGCCCTGGTCGATTGTGACATGCTCACTCAGCTGTGCAGAAAGTACAACGCAGCCTCCATCAATCGTGTATATCTGACTAAAAAAAAAGAACAAAAAACAAAAGCGGTTCGTATATAGCGAAGCGTGGCCATTTTTTCACCCCATCACTTTCCCTTGCGGAACGTTGAAGGGAACAGCTCGCTAAAGGCAAAAGAAACCGGATCGTGTGTAATGTTTGTTTAGGTTAAACAACTTTTCTGCAATTGCTTCGTTTAGGAGATAATTCGAAGGAAGGATAAATATTTCGTTATTTCTGTCGAGATACTGTTAACGAATAATAGTCCGCAACTTAAGTGTACTTGAACATCGCGGTGCAATTTGTTTACTTTGGTTTCATCTCGCGAAACCGTGATACAACATTTGTATATGTTACAATCCTCTGTTGGCATTGTTAATTCGAGTGTTGTTTTCTTTTTCAATAATTTATCGAATATCGAATATTTTACGATACAACGAACTTTATTTTACTGGCACATTAATCGTGTATTTCCTAATATCGTTTCGCAATTTTTATGCTTCAACGACTGTTACCTTGCATATTAAGAATTTTATCACAGGAATCTAGATTTTCTTATGATTTGTACGATTTAAAAAATAAGATCATCTTGAAATTCTTGTTAACATGATTTAGATAGACTTCCCTTTCTAACGTAACACATATTTTCTTTCAATCGAGCAAAGTATCGACAGTCTGTTGAGAATGAACGATAAGTAAATTCCGTCGAACCAAATATTTGTTCAACAGCGCAGATTTAGCGTAACACGCGAAAGAACGAAGTAGCACCGGGAGAAGTGATCGAACGAGATCAGCTAATCGATAAATGTGTCACGTCGATTAATAATACGACGAGGAGACGTATCCGCGAGAATAGTCCTAGAGAAGCTGGTATTACGCTGGACTCGGAAACCAATTAACATGCATAATTAAAATGGCATTGTTGTGGCTGTACAGCACTAGGGGCTCTCCTGTCGACTGACGAATCCCCCGAGACTAAAGCCGTTCCATAATTACGAAAATCCTCTCCCCCCATCCACGGCCAGTTCCTCGATTCATCGTGCCTCTCCTCTCTATATCACTCTTTCTCCAATTGCAATCGGCCTGCCAGCAAGCCCCTCGAAAACAAGGGACAGCGCGAAAAAAATCGGGCAACGGGTCGTCGCGACATGGACCAGAACTGCCAGAGCCAATAACGACCGTACGGACCAATTCGTTGGCCCGATTGATTAACTTTATTTCGCTCAGTGGGCAAGCCCTTAATTTCGGGGCATCGATCATAGCCCTCGTATGCCCTCCTCCTCCTCCTCTGTTGCAACCACTTCCTCTCTGCTCGTTCAAGCCGCAACCCTCAGCGCCGTAACGCACCTCTCTCGCTCTGTTTCCTCTGCCTACCTAGCGTCAATTTGACGGATTTCATTTCGCGCGACGACAATCGTTTCGTTTTCCTGGAACGTATACGCTCTTCGGGGGACGACAGGGGGACATTTTTCACAGAGAAAAATGGTAACCTTGTCGATTAATGCCGCGGTAAGCGGTAGCAGAGTTTGCGGAGGAACACGCGTTTTGGAATTATGCTGATAATCGATGGGTGACAGGAAACTTTGTTGATATCGGTGCAGGGAATATTAGGTCTAGCGGAAGGTTGTGTCCGTTTTTGTATTAAAAGAACGTAATGCATTTATTAATATTTACCGAACAATATAATTTCCATCGTTACCAGTGACCTCTTCCCAGCGTGATGGTAATTCGTGGAATCCATTTCGGTAGAATGTCTCATCTTTGGATCGTGAGACGACATTATCGGACAGAACATTCCGGTAGACCTAATATAATGAATTTGAAAAAAATTGGACTGCTACAAAGTAACGATAATGCGAATTTCACCTCTGATAACGCTTGACTTGATACAATTTTTAGCATTCTCTTGTTTTCTCAAAGGACAAGCAAGTTGTTGTTTCTATTTTGTTTATTCGTTGAAAAATGCGTAAAACGCTTTAATAACGACGCATCAAATATACGAAGCTTTAAACCGGTTCCCTTGTCGGTGGTGATATTGTGATTTTCAATGGCACGTCTATCATCCACGTAAATATCGACTCGCGATATTTCCTTCGTCAAGTCCAAACGCGTAACAATCAATCGTTACCTTAATTGATTGCGATTGGTGGAGGATGCTCGAGCGATTTGACTGACGTCACAATGACACACGGATTGTCAATCAGTCGCGCTTGTGGCGTTAATGCATGCAAATTTGACCGAATCGTGCTACGTTGTCTCACACCCTTGCGGCAAATCTCCATCAGTATGGATTCGATATCAAGGGCGGCCAGAGAATTTCTGCTGCAAGGATTATTGCAGAATGCTGGAAATTCTTTCTGCCTTCGGTGCACCAGACGAATTTAATACATGAAAATGGACACAAATATTCATCGATACTATACATAGTTTTGTCACATTTCGACATTTGTGTTTAGTACACATTCACGCGTTCTCATTTTTCTTCGAGAAAGA